CTAAAAATGGAACTCCCATTTGACCCAGTGATCCCACTTCTAGGAATATATTCTAAGAAACTAGAAACAACAATCAGAAAGGATATATGCACCCCTATGTTCATAGCAGCACAATTTACAATAGCTAAGATTTGGAAACAGCCTAGGTGCCCGTCTGCAGATGACTGGATCAGAAAACTATGGTACATCTACACAATGGAATACTGTGCTGCTATAAAAAAGAAGGAATTCTTACCATTTGCAGCAGCCTGGATGGAACTGGAGAGCATTATGCTAAGTGAAATAAGCCAGTCAATGAAAGAAAAATACCACATGATCTCACTCATTTATGGATAATAAAGAACATTATAAACTGATGAACAAAACGATAGATACAGAGGCAGTAAAGCATCAAACAGACTGTCAAATTACAGTTGGAAGGTTGGGGAGGGGTGGGTGAGATAAGAGATCAACCCAAGGACTTGTATGCATGCATATAAGCATAACCAATGGACGCAAGACACTGAGGGGTGAGGGCATGTATGGGAGTGGGGTGGGGGGGGGCAATGGGAAGATATGCACACATGTAATAACTTAATAAAAAAAAAAGTGAGATAGCTTCCAAATATACACTATCTGTACCCTAGCTCTTTACAGAATCTATCTGCTATGCAAGTTATGCAAGGGATGCTTCTGTAGAACTTCTCTTTTTAGGTTTGACATGATAAAGGATTTTAGATTTCGATCTTTCTGGCCTGTATGTTGTTTTTAATTTGAAAGTTGCTTTGTGGCTCAGCCCAATTACTAAGGAAACCAGTTAATTTACAAGTGACTCTTATGAAAGGAAACTGGTTGACACCTAGGAAAATGAGCACAAACTCAACAGTCACTTTGTACGTTTTCTGACAAATCATAATCAAATTGCAATCAGGCATTGGATTTCTACTAACGAGTGACTAAGAATGCCAAGGGCAATGTTAAGCATAGGAATCTTACAAATTTCAAAGTTAAGAGATAGCAAGTGTTAAAAATTCAGAACCTTAAAACAGCTAAGAGGAGAGAAAATAAAAAATAAAGCATTCAGACTGAGGTGTGACAATCTGTGGCTTTTGTTTGTGAGTCTTGCATAGAAGCTGTTGATAGCCATCCTTATTCGAAAGTTTTGAGTGAAGCTTTCTCTTCCCAAATGGCATCTGCTTTGGAGGATTCCTAAGAATGTTTCTGGTTGGAACATGATTCAAAGAATATGTTTGTGTTTTCAATTGAGAAATGTGAATCTAAGAGCCAACACCCTAGACTTTTACTGTTTGTTAGTTGTTAACAGTACTTGATAGGGCCCTTGTCAGATAAGCAGAATGTTCTTGTTATGGAAATTCTACTTTTACAGTATACTATTTAATTTGTCTTCTGTTGTTATTCATAAATCTTTGAATTAATCTTATATTTTTTATGTAGGTTCGGACATTATGCAACCATGCAAAGAGACAACAGTGAAGCTTTTCATCTTTTAAATATAATTAACTTACTCACCTGTACATAATCAGTATGTATATATAATTCTAACATTATCATTTCAATAAACTGGATCAATTTGCTTAAAAAACAGAGAAGGTATATTTATTATCTTGTATACATACTACTGTTTCTCTGTAATCATTTCTACTAATTACAACCTTTAACTAAAGAAGGTAACATTTGTGAACAATAGAAAAATCTACAAGGTAGTACATCAGAAATGTTATAATCATTCCCTTTGAGCACATATTTTATACAGCTTTAACATATTTTAAGATTGCAAAATAAAGATGCATAATAGCATTTAAAAGCATTTGTACATCTTTTTGAATATATACCCATTCCATATGTAAAATTAAGGAAAGGGGTTTAAAGTGATATTTTGTAAACAACGTGTTTATTATCTTTTTCTTATTTAGAACTTGTCCATCTATAAAAAAAAATAATTTGTTACTTATCTATGCTAATAAAAGGGTAATATACTAATTAACCAGATAGACCGGATGTCTTCTGGATGTCCTTCCAGACAAAGCCCCGGAGGCAGGGGCCAAGGCAGAGGCAGTTAGGGGTGATCAGGCTGGCAGGGGAGAGCAGTTAGGGGCATCAGCAGGCAGGCAGGCAGGCAGAGGCGGTTAGGGGTGATCAGGCAGGCAGGCAGAAGTGGTTAGGGGCAATCAGGCAGGCAGGGGAGGAGTTAGGGGCGATCAAGCTGGCAGGGGAGCAGTTAGGGGCGATCAGGCAGGCAGGCAGAGGTGGTTAGGGGTGATCAGGCAGGCAGGCAGAGTGGTTAGGGGCGATCAGGCAGGCAGGTGAGCGATTAGGAGCCAGTGGTCCCAGATCCCCCAAGGAGTCCTGGATTGTGAGAGGGTGCAAACTGGGCTGAGGGACCCCCTTCCCGTGCATGAATTTTTTGCACTGGGCCTCTATTAATTTAATATTAGGCTAAGATCTTAAATTGACTACAAATCTGGAAATTGTGATTTCAATTCTTGTAATTTATAGCATTAGAAGAATATCCTATATAATAAAAGCGTAGCATGAAAATTATTCCCTTGACCAGGAGTTTGTCAGGAGTTTGGCCAGGGGAAGGGAAGGAGTACCCAGCTAGCAGCCGGCAGCCATTAGGGACCCTACCAGTGCATGAATTTCGTGCACTGGGCTTCTAGTATAATATTAAAATTCATTTAGTTAAACATGTTTTATTAATTTATTTTTTATTGATTTTTAGAGAGATAGGCAGGGAGAGCGGGGGAGAGAAAGAAACATAAATGTGAAAGGAAAACATCCATTGGCTGCCTCCTGCATGCCCCCTAACTTGGGTTGAGTCTGCAACCTGGGCATGTGCTCTGACTGGGATTCTAACTGAGAATCTTTCTGTGCAGGGGATGATGCCCAACCAACTGAGCCACCTGGCCAGGGCAAGTTAAACATGCCTTAGTGTCTATTTGTAATTTGAACTTTTTATAAAAATAATGGTAACTTAATGGATTCATAGAACTAATGTAGGTAATTTAAATTGTTTTAAACAGGAGAAATTAAGCCCAAATCATGTATTTATTAAAATACTGTGCTCATATTACTTTTTTGGGTAGTGATATTAGAGAAAAGGCTAAAATTTTTTTAAGTTAAATTAATTACTCATTTGTCTAAGTAATCATCCTATATAATAAAAAGGTAATATGCAAATTGACCCTAATGGCAGAACAGCCAGAATGACTGCTCAATCAGTCACTATGAGGTGCACTGACCACCTCTTGGTCCCTTTCCCTGGCTGGCAGGCTCCAATGGTGAACGGGAAACCGGGGGTGGGTGGCGGGGGATGCAGGTGGCGCCAGGCCAAGGCCCCCACCTGGCTGATTGCCTAACACACAGAGGTTGACCCATGGTGGGGGCGGGGTCGGCAAGCAGGCAGGAATAGCTGACCTCTTGGTCCCTTCCTCTGGCCATCAGGCTCTGATCAACCGATGGCGAACGGGGAGCCAGGGGTGGGTGGCAGCAGGGGGCAGGGCAGCTGTGGCAGTCAGGGAAGATGGCCCTGATCACAGGCCAGGCCTAGGGACCATACCCATGCACGAATTTCATGCACCAGGCCTCTCGTTTATAGTATATTCACTTAAGCATATAAATTAACCTCTGTATTTATATACCACAGAAACCAATTAAGATTGTGAGTTCCTGTCAAAAGCTCTAAATGCCTAGCTTTGCTTTTTATCTAACAAGACAAGCTGACAGGCAGACCCTTTCTTCTGATTTCAGTTTGGGCATGGAAAAACACACAACATAATAGCTATTTGTTTTTGTTTTTGGAAATCCCTGACTGTTTATTTGGACTAGGTATTCCTTGAGTGTGTACAAAATAACAAAACAATTAATTTTGATCAATTAATCTTTAAAATTACCCCATAAACAGAAAAAGGAGTCAGAGAGAGAGGAAAGGAGAAAAAGTTAGACATTGCAGGTTTCAGACAGGCATTAAATTTTCACTGTAATAGGCAAATTATCTTGCCCTCTGCATGGAGAGGAGAAGGAGTAGCTTCGGGAAAGCCCATTGGCAACACCCACACACGTGCACACACAACAGAAAAAGAGAGACTATTATTATAGCTGATTTACACAGGAATACAGACTTTTTGCAGTTCCATCAAGCTGTTTGCTTTCTAACTGTACATCAAGCTGTGAAGTATGGTCATGACAGAGGGAGAATTTCCTATGTTAAACAAAGATATCTCTTTTTGAGTCGGGCAAGTCAGTCAGAGAATCTTTCAATAACCTATTGGTTTTAATGCCTCTTTCAATAAACAGTCTTGTTCATGCCAACAGCTTCCCAATGCCCCCTGAAATTTCAGATTGTCCTGGGTGGAATTATGTTAGAGAGACATGCACAGGAATTACATCTTGAAAGAGACCCTCACAACTGGTAAAAGTCAGAAAGAGATGGTCATTAGTACTTTGTGTCTAGACCTGGCCAAAAATAAGTGGTCAATAGCTGGGAGCTCAGGACCAGCAAAACTAAGTAAAGCATTTATAGGGACACAAAGGCAAGTTTCAGGAAAGTTCATAAATGTTTATTTTAAATTCATGTTATTAATGTATATTTTATGACAATAAACTGAATCCACTAGAAGCATACTGCAAAATTTGTCCAAAGAATGCCAGTCTTACATGACCTCTGAATGCTTCAGTTCTGGGGTAGACTTATTGGGCCTACTCACCTCTTCTCCCTGTAGACTTTTCCTTACAGACTCTTTACAGGACAGACGGGTATGAACCAGATTGTTAAAAAAAAAAGGGGGGGGGCTGTTTTCTACTCCATAATCAAAGAATTCCTAACATGCTTTAATTCTCACTGAGAAAATACATTTAATCTTTATTAGTTGATGAAAGGAAATTGGAGCTTAGACCCAATTTAGGTCATACCTCATTCTTGGGTCAAAGAGACATCCTCATTCCCAATTTAGAAGATTAAGAGCTTCTTGTATTTCTTTGAATTGAAAGAATTAATTTTGTGGTTCCACTGGGAATCAAACCCACGATTTTCTGCTTGTCAAGCAGATGTGATGACCACTCCATCATGGATCTCAAAGATCCAGCTTAGAGAGTCCAGGAGCCTCAGGGAAATGTACTTCTCCAGGCATTGTACAGAGCAATGAAGGGATCTTGATTGGATCCTGATGGGACCTGTAGGTTTGTCAACTCTTTGCTCCTTAAAAGTCCACTGGAAATATTTGTTGCTCAAGGAGAACTAAGTTTATTAGATGAGCAGAACATCACCTTGACAAAATCTTGACAATGTTTCAGAAGGGAAAGTCAAGGTAGGAGATCAAACAGCGTTTTAGAGCCTGGACTGGAGAAGTTTATAATCAGGTCTTACAAGATAGAATACTAGTTAGGATTGGAGAGAGATTATTATTTAACTAGTGGCCCGGTGCATGGATTCGTGCACATTGAAAGGAAATTAATTAGAATGTGGTGGTGGGGTGGGAATGGGCAAGACACGATGGACACACCTGGAGCCAACCTCCTGCGGTCCCTCCCCAGCCGGCCACACTTGGGGCAGTGCCAGGGATTGAAGGGCATCTGTGGAGTGAGTGGGGTTCCTCCCGCAGGTGGGGTCCCTCTGCCTCCCTGCAGGGATTGGGCCAAAACCGGCAGTCTGATATCCCTCGAGGGGTCCTGGAATGCAAGAGAGAACTCTGCAAAGTTGCTGTAGATCAGCAGCTCCTGCATTGAGCATCTGACCCCTGGTGGTCAGTGCATATCATAGCTGCTGGCGACCAGTCGGCTGGTCCACTGGTCACTTAGGCTTTTATATATATAGATAGCTTTGGGTTGATGGGCTCCAAGACACCAGGATATAGAAGTTACTCTTGATAATCAAGGTGTTGGTCTTAATAAATTATCCATTTAGTTGATTCACAATTTATCCTTAAGGACTAAGTTCTTCTGGAGCAAGTAACTAAGTCAAAATCGCTTTGCTTTCAGTATTGTTTCATGTAGGGGCAGAAAATGAATTATATTTCTTTCAGTTTTCATTCCCCCACACCACCCCTGCCCACCCTAGGAACTTGCTTCAGGTTTCCAGACAATAGGACTGATATACTAATCCAATAAAAATGTTGTAAAACTGGGCTGTTGTAAGGACTCCAAACTCAAAGCTACCCTATTTTGGAGGCCAATAATAGGCTTTATTCTAGTGACTTCCAATTAAATTGGCCATATCTTTTTAGTGCTTATTGATTGATACACATACAACTTTATGATGGACTATTTTGCATTCAGTAATGCTTTCTATGTACATTTGCATTTTATAAACATAATAACTTTGTGACCAAGTAGCAAATCATCTTGAATTTATTCTGTAGGTTCCTTTCTATTATTACCAAGTACACAAACTGGGATTATTTTCTGGAAGCTAAGTCAGAGGAGAAATGAAGTGATGGTGATGAGTACAGCACATATTAAAGCCACATACTGCATCATGAACCCACACCATGAGAAGCAATAGGAAGGCAGAAAGATAAAGCAAGAAAGGGGACAAATCCCTCACAATGCAGGAAAATAACTGGAGGCCCCTATGCAGCACCTAGAACGTCAGTAAATATCTGGAAACCCCTAAGCACAGCATCCAAGGACATAAAGTAGGTTTCTTTATGATAGTGGCTTTAGATAAAGAAATAATCAATGACCACCAAAGGAAATCGGAGCCACACTGGGGCCATATGAAGAGAAATATGGAGCGTGCTAGTAAAGCAACGAGTTACAGCGATTATACTGGTATTGTCTCAGTAGTAGAGACAACAGTTATTGTCATCAAATTTCCTCGATTGAGCTCTCTAGTGCCAGTTAGGTGGAAGCTAAAGGGGCAAAGGTTACATTCACAGAAAAGAACAAAGAACTGTGAAAGTCTAAGGGCAAGTGCTTTAGGATCACAGTCACAATGTATTAAGAATAGACTAATCTGACTCATCAAAATAAGCACCATGACAAAAATCAAGAACGGATGTCAGGAGCTCTTGAGCTCTGGAAGCAAACAAAAATTTATAAAGGAAATGTTATTTCCATGGGCTATTGTGAAATAAAAGACTTTTTAATTTTAATTTGGTCATTGGAACTTTGAAACACAATTACTTTACGTCTCAATTTATGAAACCACAAAGATGATGGTACTATAAACTTCTAACTACTTTTTACCTATGTCAGTGCTTTCTGAATGAAATCACCAGCCCTAGAAATGGCAGGACTCGTGACCAGGTGCTAGGAAGCAGGTGGCTTTATCAGTTTCAGTAGGTTTGGTACTTGCGCAAATGTTAATGGCTGATTAGGTTTAGCCTAGTTTACTTGGATAGAGGAATACAACGCGGTCTTGTAGGCGATTCCTTTCCCTGGATTGGGATAGCATCTGCTGATGACACCAAGTCCTGGACATCTGGGTTCCAGGGCCCAGAATCCTTAATGATCCTTTATTGGAAACTGTTTGAATTTTATTTCGTATAAGGAAATTTAGTGGCAGTTCTTCACAGCTTTCTGGGGGGAAAAATAACCTTTGAGTATCATTTTTGAACCTGCTAGTTTATTCCCCTGGGCACCAGTGAATTCAAGAAAAACACTAGCCCGGAGTCATCCAGCCTGGGGCTGTAAAGTTGTCAGATCTCATAAGCTAGGCATAGCATTTGGGTCTGGCCAGGACTTGGATTGGAGAACTCAAAAGAAAAAAAAAATGTTCGTGGAACACACATCTGTTATGCACCAGATGGCAGCTGTTATTTCATCTCCTATGGAACTTTTTCCTATAATTCTTGTTACATTTCTTCTACTGCAGTACTTAAGGGTTTTAAAGAAAAAAGCAAAATATTTTGGGGAAAAGAATGAGGTGAATGTAACATTAAAACCAAGGCTTTAATTGTTCCAGAACTCAGGATTTGCAGAGTTAAGGTTCCCACAGCAATCCTCCAACTGTGCAGTGTGTATTATAATAGGAGCCCTCATTACATAATCACCGAACCTCGGGTAATGTTACAGAGTGTTCAGCAGATAAAGGGCACAAAATAATGGAAAGGAACTGCACTTTTTCTCTAATCTTAGATGTACAGAGCATATTATGTTACTGCATAAATATTACATGATCGTGTAACAAAATATACTAATGAAATACACAGATGCAAAGCAAGAGTGCAAGGGTTGAGATTGCACTGGGAACACTTAAATTGATTTTCTTATTCTTTGCTAATTAAAATGCAAACTTAATTTTGCATTTGTGTCTTTTTATGAGAATATAATATGTCTTGGGAGACCTGACAGTTTTTAATGCTTTATAAAATGGTGCTTAGAGTCATATAGACATACAATGTCACTGTCTTTCATGTCCCAAATTTCTGTTCCTGACTATGTCTTAAGCATTTCATTATTGACCTGGAAGCTACTTTCTGCACAATCACTTTTCTACCTTAATATTTGTATGCAAATTTGTCAGCCTAGTCTCATAGACACCTTCTTCCAATTGGTTAAAAAACACATTTACATAGTACCTACTTGTTTAAAAAGCTCTGTTCTAGATTCTGATGTGACAGAAAAAAAAACAGTCATGGTCTTGCTTTTTAGGAAATTAAGACCTCCAGTTACTGATGACAATGCTAATTATATTTACTTTGAGTCAGATTGCGTTGTGCACCCTAAACATAGCTTTGACAGCTCTGGCATATTACATCTCATTACACTTTTTTATTTCATTTTACAAAAGCTGTATTTATGCAAACATCTCTTAATATTCCTGCTGCTGCTACATGCCCTTTTTTGTTGTCCTTTGGTGATTTTATTTTTAAAATTTTTATTAATACTTCATTTTCTTAGAGCATTTTTAGATTGAAAATAAAATTGTGGAGCAGGTACAGAGATTTCCCATATACCTCTTGCTCCTATACACGCACAGCCTACTTAATTATCATCCTCCACCACATTTTTATAATTGATAAACCTACATTGAAACATCATAGTCACCCAAAGTTCATAGTTTATATTAAAATTCACTTTTGGTAAAGTATAACATGTTCATGAACTTGAACAAATGTATAATGGTGTGTATCAATAATTGTAGTATCATACAGAGAGTTTTCATTGCCCTAAAAATCTGTGATCTGTTTATTGATCCCTTGCCATACATGCGCCTCTACCCACCCCCTGGCAACCACTGCTCTTTTTACTGACTCCATAGTTTTCCTTTTTGAGATTATCACATAGTTAGAATCATACTATAGGAAGCCTTTTCAGATTGTCTTCTTTCACTTAGAAATATGTATTTAAGATTCCTCTATGCTTTTTTTAGTGCTAAATAACATTCCCTTGTCTGAACGTACTACAGTTTATCCATTTTCCTACTAAAGGGCACCTTGGTTGCTTTTAAGTTTCGTCAATTATAAAGAAAGCTGCTATAAACATCTGTGTGCAGGTTTTTGTGGACATAAAATTTCAGATCCTTTGGGTAGATATTAGTGGGAATGTGATTGCTGGATCATTTGGGAAGAGTATGTTAGTTTTGTAGGAAACTTCCAAACTGTCTTCCAGGCTGGCTGTACCATTTTGCATTCCCATTAGCAATGAATGAGAATAACTGTTGCTCCACATCCTAACTGGCATTGGGTGATGTCACTGTTCCAGATTTTGGACATTCTAATAGATGTGCAGTGGAATCTTGTTTTAATTTGCATTTCCCTGGTGATACATGATGTGGAGCATTTTTTTATATGCCTACTTATAATCTGCATATCTTCTTTGGTGAGGTATCTGATAAAGTGGTTGGACCATTTATTAATGGTCTATTGGTTTACTTCTTATTGACTTTGAAGAGATTTTATATATTTTGAATGACAGTTCTTTATTAGATGTGTCTTTTGCAAATGTTTTCTCCAAGTCTATGCCTTTTCTTCTTGATACTCTTTCACAGAGCAGAAGTTTTCATTTTTATTTTAATGAAGTTCAGTTTATCAATTATTTTTTACATGTATAGTGCCTTCAGAGTTGTATCTAAAACGTCATTACCAGCCCGGCATGGTGTGGCTCAGCAATTGAGTGTCGACCCAGTAATC